AAACCAGTACTTCTAAGTGTGAATTAAAATAGCACATTAACTACTTTTCATCATCCCAGGTCTGCATTATAAATTTGAAAACCAGCTACAGAATTCTGCAACATAAAGAATGTAAATTTAATAAACATAGCAATTAGTTGCATAACCTTCTGTCCTAATTTAGCCATTTGAAGTGTGTGCTGGCATTTCTTCTTGTTCATCCGCCCCCTTCCATTCTACTACCACTGTTTCATGGGTGTCAACATTTGCATGTGTGATGATCTCTGGATACTGGAAGTATCTCTCTTGTGCTGTACCAACCTGCCAATTTAGATGTCTATACCAAAATCATACCATGTTGTGAAGCAGCTTCTATTTTGTGAAAGCTCAGATCTTTTCATCGCCTGCTACAGGCTGAGAGTTTTCCAGGCATCTCTGAATAAGGCTGAAATTAAGGCCTGGTATAAAAACAGTGAGCTAAGCAGGCTTGTTCTGGCAGGGCTGAAGACAGGACCTGGTCTCAAAGAGCTCAAAAATGTCAGAGGGTGGTGTAGAGGAAGAGAATCATATGAGAGGAGTCTGGAAGCAAAATCAGCTGTTGCTGCTTGCTCTCCACACGGCAAGTTCCGGAACCTCCTCCTAGATGCAGCATTGCTCTCCTTACTGATGAGGAGCAATGGGTAGAGTGTTTCCAGCTCTATCTCAATATCACGATGTACCTTTGTATGTTCCTTGAGACAGATTTATTTCCAATAATCCAATAATTTATTTCCAATAGTGCAGACTTGAGATGATAAAGTGTCTCAATACAAATATTGTGGCAGACACATAAAAATAAACTGCAGAAGTGGAATTAGACATTCTTGCAGATGCTTCAGATATCATGAACATACCCTTTATCTCAACAGAAGTATCCCTGTGGTTTAAAGATTTTTATTAATGAATTTTATTCTTTATTCTATCTCTTTTAGACATTTACATTTTATCATGACATTGACTATACTTTAGAATCCAATTACACAAAGGCATTGTAAGTATAATGAAATCTAAAAATAAGATAAAGTTGATAATGTAGTTTTGATAAGTATGAATTATAAATGTCATCCGGACTATAGAACTGCCCTGGAAGATATTACATAAATTAATAGTATAGTTGTTAATGGGAGAATAGTGCTTCTTGCCATAATACTTCAAGAGGGCCATGCAGCTTTCTTGCATACAAGTGGACATGCGTCAAATTAGGAAAAGCAAATGAAAGTATTTATAAAATGTAAAATAGATAACCCATTTGCAAGGTTTTGTAAAGGTCCTACAAACCATGCACATTTACATCATACTTAGGTTCATTCCAACATTTCTTTGTACTCTTAATGTTCCAGCTGAGAGCCTTTTCAGAATTCATACTTTCCTGGGTGAGCCCTCAGCTGTTGAACAGACCTACGTCTCCAAAGAACATCTTGAGACTTATCTTCACTTTTGTTCTGGATTTGCATACAGCTTTATTCAAATTTTCCCAACTCTAAAAGAGCTACTGATCCTCATTTAATTCAGGAGACGATTCTACCAAACTATTAGCCACCTTGCTCAGAAATGCAGATGTCCCTTCGACAAGCAAGAGGTGGTTGTCTTTCATAGACGAGTGCAAATTGATAGCCTACTGATGGCTAAAAGATATTTTTTTCTTGTGTAGTAAGCCTAATCACAGGTAGCCGTGTACAGCCCTACCAGACTCTCCACCTTATATTCCATAAAGATTTATAAAACAAGAGCCGCATACATGCACCAAAAGCTCTTTCTACAAAGATGTATTAAAGATTAGTGAGTGTGACACATTACTGACTGAAGACATTTTGATATTGATCTCTCTATGAAAAACCACAGTAGAAAAACCAGCTGAGTATTTTGTTGTGGGACTGCCTGAATCAACAGTCTCTGTGTGACAGTTTTCTGATTCAGTACCACACTAGGCTGTCTTAAGCCGTTCATCTTACCTCAGCACAAACCAGAGTTTTGCGAAAGGTGAAAACAGATAGGATCTGGGTAATTCTGCTCACTCCCCTCCACCTTGTTCTAGAATATACTAATATATATACAGAATATACTGTTGTTAATCGGTGTGATAATAGGTCCAAATCTCCCACAACGGAGGTCACCTCCCCCCAAACCTGACCCTCCTGCATTCATCAACATGGTTTGTCTGGCAACACAGAAAAAAATAATAGTATTTCACCTGCTCACATTTTCAAAGCTGCCTGCGTTTTCTGGCTTCAATTTGATCTGTGTTTGCCTATGGATTAAAGACCCATTTCAGAGCAAGCATTAATCCACCCTTCCAAAGCAATATTTCAGTATTTCAAAAGTAGTTATGAAGCTGATATTAAAAAGTGTAGCCTGTCCATAGACAGGTGCTGTATTATTCATAAAGTAAACAAGAGACCTAATAACGTCTAATGTGGCCCTCAGAAATCAATAAGCATCAAAAAAAAAAAAACAAAAAAAAAACGCAGACTGCTAGGACTTATTCTCCCAAACTCTCAAACATTCACCTGTGAAACCACAGCAATTACCTATATTTGTACTGCCACGTGGTATTTAAATGATATGCTAATAAAATAAAAAGTAATAGTAAATAATAGTAACCAGTGTGCCTTGCCTCCAAATTAAATTGCCTTGATATTGTTGCAGTTCAATCTCTTGGTTTACTCTGAAATAAATTCCAACACAAATCCTTGTTTGCTGGGGGGTTTCTTTTGCAGGGAGTTAACCAGCGGTGTTATGTCAATTGAACTGCAGCCTAGTGTCTTTGAAGCATCATGTAAATTACACTGCAAGGTAGGCGCTGTAGCTTGATATCGTAATTTGGATGACATACAATACCACTGCTTCTCCGTTTCCTGAAAGGAAATCCTGGCCCGCTGGCAGCCACAGGTCGATGGCCAAGATTTCACTCCAGTTCACGTCATTCCAGTTAACTAATGTCTTGTAAAATTATATAAGGAGAGCTTAAGCAGAAAGGCAGAGAAGATGAAGTTTGCAGTACCGTATTGATGAGAAAGTCTCCAAAGTGAGTAAGAATGTGGGCAAGAAAGGAGTCATAGTAATAAACCATGATGCACAACTGTCTGTGGATGAGGTTCATCTTGGGAAGGTTTCCTGGAAAAATTAAAGTTTGTGTTTCTTTTCAGGTAGCTCACCTCTTTGTTGGCTGCCCTCCAGGAAGGCATATTGTTGTTGAGAGGCAAGTTTAAATCATTTACTTTTTCTGGATTTTTTACAACAGTAGTTGAAATAAATGCTAATGTAGTGATATTTAAGCTTCATATATATGATTTACTACATTTATAAAATGTTTCTCTGCATAAGTGTATAAATGATAATTAAAAGGTTTATCTTTGAAAATATACAAACAGACTGTAAAGTGTATAGAGCTATATATATAATATATATAGCCATATACTTAACATCTTTTCAAAAAAAAATCTCTTTTTTGTCTTTTAGACCCTCAGATGTAGTCTGTCTAAATCATGATTTTACTACTTACAAAATACCTGGGTAAGATACTGTATTAATAGTCCAAAAAAGACTGGGCATTTTGGATATATTGTCGTATGAAAGTGCTCTACATAATATACACCACTTATTACCAAATGAGGATTTTCTGATACTGATGTTCCTATCATCTTTTTCTTTTCTGTTACAGCGTAGATGCACAATATGTACAAACCTAAAGCAAACTACTATTTTAAGAATTCTCTGTCAAGATGGTGTGATTGAATCGATGCAGAAACTGTTGACATGTTATTTTTTTCTACCAGATTAGTGTCTAAAATATCCACAAGAATCTGCACCTGATTCCAATAGGCTAATGGAGATTTGCTATAGTTCAGGATTTCACCCAATGTGCTGTTAAATTAACACTGAAAAGAATCCAGGAGTGTAGTGCTGGCCTCTAAATTCTTACTTACTGGTTCTGGGTAATACTTATAGTAGGAAATGGCTACAAATATTTTGTATGAGTTGACTTTTAAAATTAATAACATACAAAGGGTGTAAAACTGTATAGCAGAAAGAAAGGCTTTCTTTTTTTCAAGCCAGGAGAAAAAGGAACAGATTGAAATATTTCCAAACAAATGAAACTTTTAGCAAGACAATTTTTAAGAGAGGTTTTAAAAAAAGATTGTTGTTTTTTCCTTACGTTAGGAAATTTCTGTGGCGTCAAACAGTTGAAGACAAGGTGAGCATTACAGTTTTCATTCAAATGAGGCTACATGTAAGAAGAGAGAAGCAGAGTTCAGTATTCAAAATATGAATAAAACTTCTCCTTTTTTAGATAGCCCGTTATGACTGGAATAAATATGGTTGCCTAATGGAACTTCATTATGAACAATATTTCCAACCAATTATTTCCCTGTAAGTAAGTTGCTGATACATTGTGAAGCAGGAAGACAATCACTTCCACAAATGTTATGTAGAGATGTGAAGCTGTGGAAAGTATCACAGCCCAATGGCAGGAGTTAACATTTATCAATTTTTTATGTACTTTTTCACACATTCTTTTGTCCCAGTGGGAATTGCTGGACTGTGCTAACGTTGTAATCCCGTTACCTAAAGCAGCCTACCTTTTTTGCCTTCCCCCACAACTACAGCAGCTCTACACACTTGCTTACTGATCCATTCCATAGCTCTGAATCCTATTGCTGTATGTGCTTATGCTGTTCTATTGAGATGTCAAATTCCATATGTTTTACAGGTATGATGGTGATAAATACGTTAGAAGGGTTGAAACAAATTTCATATTATGGGAAATGGAAGGCAGAACAGACTATGGGTACACTTCATCCATGAAAGAAGTAAGCCAGCTACTGAGAATGTAACTTAAATACATTTTGTGCACAGTGGTCTGCATGAAGTATGGCTGCTTTTATGCATGCTTGGGCCTCTTTATTCTGAACGGATACATTTAGTTGCATAGCATTTTAACATTTCATGTATTGGTCTTAACAATATACATTGTTCAGAATTAATCATGTGAGAAACATCAAAACAATGCAGTGAACAAAGAGCAGAAAAAGAAATCTCCCTGTGAGAATATGGTTTGGGAAATGAAACTTCAAAATCACTTTGAAATTTCAGACTACCTTCTGTGCAAAAAGAAAAAATATATATTTCCACTTACCCACAAGATCTCATCAAAACAAATTCTTCCCAATTGCTAGATAACTGAAACAAGAACATAACTTTCTTTCCTATCTGTATATTCTTGTCTATCATATTTCATTTGCATTTTTCCATTTCATTTGCACATTTCAATTGCATTTCAAGTACACTTTTTAATCTATATTTCATTCTTCTGTTTAAAATTTGTATTTTTAACAGGAAGGTTGCTTATACAAGGCACAGTCTTGGCCCATGATGCTTAATGCAAGTCAAAACTCTACACTGGATGAAATATGGGGACCACAGGTATGAAAATAAATGTTTAGAAATAGCTGGTGGTAGCATGAGTGAAATCTATAGATATCTTACATATTTGTACATTGCTGGCTATCAGCCATCTACATCTGATCATCCAGATCACTATTGCTATATACAAAATGGGTCCTTTGTTGTCGTACATTTTCCTGTACAACCAAAAATTCAGCATTATGGCATCCAATGTCAAGTCTGAAGAGAGGGAACCTTTTTTTCTAACTTCTCTATCCCTATGACTTTCTGATCTCTCTTTTCAAGAGAACTTCCTTCTGTATTTGCAGATCTTGTATCACTCAGTAGGCACAAGAGGACTACAAATTCTTAATGAAGAAGTGGGCATTGGATAGTCCTTTGGACCTCCTTTTGGAGATATCTTAAACGGACAACTTTCATCAGACTTTAGTCCTTTCTTTGGGATCCATCCCATCTAATCTGGCAAAACCCAGTGTCACTTTAGAGTTATGACTGAAGACATGGAAAGGAAACACTAGTGCAAGTATTTGTTATGGACCTCATTAAGAAAGGCGCTAAGATGCTTTAAGTATTAAGTTATTTAAAACAACATTTATTGGAGATAACACAAGAAAGAAAAAGTGGATGTCATAATCTTACATCTCTTCACATGCTGGGAACCCCAGGTTGTAAAACACCGGACAGACCTCTAGACAGAGAACCACACACTGCACATAGTCCTTCCATGGTGAGGTTTGATGGCCTTTAGAGCTACTGCAGGTTTTTCTTAGAAGTAAACAACTCTGTTCATAGTTTCTACTGTCAAGAGAAAGGGGTAAACATGCTGCTTCACTTCAAGACAAGATGGGACATGCAGGTGGTGCAATCACGCAGTGCCAAGTGCAAGTCATGTACGGGCTTCTCCGTTACAGTCAGTAAGGAGTGCACCACAGGCCTGTGCCTACTAAGGCCAACTGCTACTCACTAACTCATGGAGGTAGAATAGCCTTCCAGTTAAGACCACTACACATATCTGCTCCTCTGGGACACAAGCTTTTCTTCGTGCAGCCTCATTAACTGCCTCACTAGGAGCACAGACACATTTAGGCCAGAGGCTTGATGCTCATGAGGATCTTAAGTAAATCAATCATCTACTACCCCTGTCCAGTTTCATGTCAGTTACACAGCACTTCTGGATAAGGGTATGCACAAGCAATTTATTTGCCTATCTGAAATCCTTTTCTGCCCTCCCTCTATCTGAACTGAAAAAGGACCTTGCTTGATAGCACTTGCAGACTCTGTCAGTTATGCTCCAAGGTACTATTTTGCCTGCAGTATCCCAGCCATGTCTGCAGCTATTGCAATTGTTCTGAGAAGTCACTCAGGTTCAAACTACAGGTTTGTTTAAAGAGATCCTAGTATAATTTAAAGTAATTTAGGAAAGACTTTCAGTTGTAGATGAGCTTGTCCTGAAACCTCCTCTTCAGCCTTGTATAAGCAGCATCTTGTTTTCCTGAAGTTCTTATTTTTTGGCAGAAGCAAACCTTTACGTCCTAGATAGTATTGTGCCTTATCTATCTATCTATACAGGACGATTTTCTGGCTAACCTCTACATACCAATAGCGCGAATGTAGACATGATGTAGACATATATACAGACAGTACATCCTGAGATGACACAAATAAGCAAGCTGTTTTTATTTTTTGCTATTGGATTGATCAAATTCCCATTGGAAGCCATGCCAGGAACCCTCCATAAGTGTTATCAATCTGAAAGAATTTAAAGAGAATGTATGAACCATGTCATCTATATATTTTTTTTTTACCTCCCAGCAGCCAAGCGGGATGGGAAGAGACAGAATATGTTATATAATATCCACAGAGATAACGCATTGCCCTGTCTGTCAAGGACATTTTTGTCTGGGCTTCAAGCATAACTATGAAACATCTTCACACCCCTTTCAGACCAATGAAATTATCTTCTGAGACATCAGAAATAAATTCTGAGGCATATTCAAACTTTTCTATACATTTTACATTCTGTCTCTTCTTCCTCGTAGTAAATTTACATTTAGAAACTGAATATAATATAGACTGAATACAGACTGACTTATAAATGTAAGATCAGCAAGTTTCCTAATAACATGATGTCTGTAGTGAAACACAGTTATTTCAAGAACAGATAATTGCGTTTGGTTAATTATAGACAGTTTGTTAATAGCACTATCAAGGGACTGAATTCTATAATTTATGTTCATATGAACTTGTATTTAATTGAACCTGTACACAGTAGAATCTATTTATCATCTTTAGCCACTATAGACACACACACACACACAAAAAAAAAAAAAACAGAACCAAAATCAGTGTATGTGTCTGGTTGCTTTTCAAAAATAGTTCAAAAAATAAATATCTTCTTTATTGTTTCTGTTCAGAATTACAGGTCCTGTTTTGTGTTTCATCAGAACAGTACAGATGAAGGACTGTATGAGCAGTATCAGATTTTAAACATGACCTCTAGAAACTCCATTGTTTGGTCTACTAGTCACAGTGGCATTTACGTGTTCAGAGTGAGGATAATAGACCCAAACTACAGGTTATTTTCTTCTTTTAATGTCAAAAAAGAGTATTGTGGAGTAAAAAAAATATTTTTTCTTAGGATTTCATTTGACTTTAGTGTTATCAATGTTTTCTCCTTCTGCCTGGCTCTAACTTAAAAATGATTCAGATGTGATTCTCAGAATCTCTGACTTTTCCATTTTTCAAACTAATCACCAGCATAAATGCTGAGTGCATCATCTAAAGGCAGCAAGGTATTTGCAAGAAAAGAATCATACTATTTGTAAATTAATATAGGTTATCTGAAAATCTTTGAAAATGACACATTTTGTTATTCTTTACAAGAACTTTTGAGAGTGTAACTTCTATTCAAGAGTATGTTTTCCCTTCAAGTTATTAATTGCAAATTTGCAACATTTTTAGGCGCTCAGTAATGTATAAAGTAAACTAACTCCTATAATACTCGGTATAGTCCTGCATATCCCACATTTTCGGGGAATGTGACGGACCAGTAAATACCAGTAACAAATGAAAAGAACTGATATAATTGCTGGTAGCTCACTTAGCTAGCCCTACACTGTAAAATAAAGTGCTGCCCTGGGTGAAAGTGCTGGTTTTTCCTCTCCCCATCCTTCCAATCTGCTTGCCTGGAGCACTATCACAGAGCTCTGACTGAAAGCAGTGAGGCCTGGTGAATGCACTGCAGTCTGTCCAATAGACCCTGAGCACACAAAACTGCTAGTAAAGAGATCACGGTTTTCATGTTATTTCTAGCTTGTCTCAAAGCCATAATTTATCCCTTGTAGCCTGGACTTTCTAACACATTGGCTCTTTTTTAGCCCTATGTAAGTCTTCCTGATACTGCTGGAATGACTCCTGTAGAACATGATTTTTTAAAAGCAGAGATCATGTAAAAACCTATATATACATGCCTGAATGCTCACTAAAGCCAACTGTACTGCACAATAATTAACTGTAATTGTCAATATTAAAAATTGACAATATACTTCACTTAGAGTGTTACTTGTGAATATGTGGGGTTCATTATTCCAATCTACTTATCCATGTTTTAATAAACATTCAATGATATTGGGCACTAGACAAATATGAAGATACCTAACGAGGCTTTTTTATGTTTTTTTTATATGTTTCAGTTTTTGTGATTTAAAAGCATTCTTTGCAGTCCGTACATATGGTATAATTGAAAGGTAAAAGCAAGTAGATGTTTCTGAACTTAATCACTTTTTAATATATTAAGTTGTCCTCATGTTCTTACATTATTATTCAAAATGTTATGAAAATATGCATAAAATTACAGTTATGAAAGCACAAGTAGGCACACGATTTGCAGATGAAGACAGAAGAACTCTTCCACACATTTTTAGTTGATGTAGTTTTTCCAAAATACCTTATTTGAAAGCAAAGGGGAAGTTTGCCAGTGTGTCAAACCTAGCTTGCTTTTCCATGATGTAATTAATGTTTTTACAAGATCCACAAAACTAGATGCTTCTCTTGCATCTGCTTCGTTTCATTTCCACCCACTAATACTGTTCTTGCAGAAAGAGAAGTCAGTTAACTTAAAAATAAAGGATTTAAGTAAAAATAAAGGATTTGCCCCGATGGAAATGAAAATGAATCTTGTAAGCTATCTTTTAGCACTTAAGCTGGCCACTGCCTTAGCCTAGAATGAGGCTTTTACATCTATCATACCCGGAAACTTAAAGAGAATTGTTCTAGCTATGTTTATGCACTTACTAAGCTAGGCCAGAACTGTTGAGATATTACTCAGATCCCAGCTTGCAGGCTGAGGGCACACCTGCATAATGCCTGGTTTTCATTCCTTTTTTTTAGTGTGTCATTTTATTTTCTGTGTTGAGTACACAAGATACCTGGAACCCAGAATCTTTTTAAAAACAAAATGAATTTTTAAGTATCCCCAGTAAAGTCATGTTTTATTCTTCGTTCCTAACTAAAGGAATCTTGCCACTAACTGAAAAAGCAAGTAATTTAGATTTTCCTATTATGACCTTAAGTTTAAAGAGAAATATGTAATAGTTGATCAATTACATTGTCATCAGTTACTGCACCATGTACTGCTGAATGTACTGCTAATAGGAAATTTGAGATATTAATCCAATTCCATTTGCATTTCAGGTCAGATATATCTTCAGTTTTGTTATATTCATTTCTCATAATCTGCATTTTTGGGGTCTTCCTCATTTTAAGCTACTTCAGATATACAAAAATTTTTCAAGAGCTCAAACGTGCTGATGAGAAGAGAGCATCACCTGAAGAGCAAGAGAATTAGTGGAAGAAGACTTAAAGACCGGGATCTTACTGTTACATTGATGACATCCTGCATAACGCATTGCCAGAATATGGTGATATTTTAGGTAATTGAAATATTGTTTCTTAAGGTGTGTTTTCATTAGCTGTTTTTATCTCTCTAAACAATATGTACTTATCTTTGAATATAAAGGATGCGCTATTCAGTACAACTTTAGTAGATATCATTTACGTGTACAGGTCAGTGGTGGCTTGCACTTCTTAACTGACACCTTTCAAGTCAAACTAAGCTGAGCTACAGCTGTGATGAGCCTCATCCATGAGCTCGCTTCCCCTTTTATGGCTTTCACTGATGCCCTCACCTAAGGTTTTTGGAACACTTTTTCCAAGTAAAAGCTGACAGAAGACTGCAAATTTCCTCTCTATCCAAGGGATGCAGTCAGCAAATTAATTTCTGATCACGAATAGTGCAGGCCACAGAAGGAATATTAAACACTCTTGAAGACCTTGATAGCCCATGCACTATTTACTAAATTCTATTTCTATAATACTATATTAAAAACACATATTTGAGTCATTATACATTTTCACAAGCTTATTTTCTAATATGCAAATATGAGGGTTGTAGCATTTGTTATAAGAGTTCAAAATTTGATTCTATCTTCTAATTCCAGCTGAAGACAGTTTTGCACTTGCAGCCAGAGTTTTCATATTGTTAAGATACATTGCAAGATGTATGTTGGTAAAAGTAATGGTTCGTTTTGTCCTAAAAGTAGTTTAATAAAACTCTGTATTTTAAATAAATGGTGGAACTTCTTAGAATCATTTTGATGTTCAGTTTATGAAAACTGTGGAGCCTGTAAAAGCTGAAGTTTGACACGAAGAACGCATGAACACTTGAAACATTTGTTACTGCTTTGTTTTGCATGACCTCTATCCCGTCTATTTCTGTACATTTTATAGAGAGGCAAAAATCGGAATAAAAAAAAAGAGAGAACAGGAATTTATAAATTTCACCTAGAGTGAGAGCAGCCCCTCCCTAGCATCGTATTCCCCTAGGACAGGTGGGTCTAGCGGCGAGGCTCAGAGGCCCCACATCTCCCCGGGCGCCGGGGCTGCCCCGCGGCCCCTCTCGCTTCCTGTCACGGCTGCCCCGCTCCCCGCTCCTTCCA